AATCTAATTAGTTAACAACCAATTAGAATTTTAATTACATAAAATAACTACTCTTGAATTAATTGTTGAAAATATTTTTTATATTTTTAAATTTTATCTTATTTTTAATTATATTATTATTCTGTTAATTATTCTTATTCTTATTTATTATTTTCATGACAAAAATTAATATAGCAATTGATGGACATACTGCATTGGGTAAATCGAGTGTTGGTGAATTGTTAGCAAAAAATTAAATTATCGATTTATCGATAGTGGATTATTCTATCGTTACATAGCAACAAATTTTTCTGATTTAAAAGAATTTAGAATAATTTCATAGTTGTCAAATCAACAAGAAGAAAATATATTAACCCAAGTTAATAAAACAATAACAATCAATTAATTTCAAATGAATTGTTAATTAAAGTTGCGAATAATATTAATATTCGTAAAGCTATCAACAAAGTTATACAAGAAATCACAAAGCAAAAGGGATATATTGTAGAAGGTCGTGATGCTACTTTTAATATACTTCCTAATGCTGAAATCAAGATTTTTTTAATAGATAAATTCAATGCTTGAGTTAATCGCTGAATCAAACAATTTAATATTAAAGCATTTAATAATACATGGTTGGATATACTTAAACAAGACTCATCATCATCTGATTTAATTAAATAAGCAAAAAAGATATCGCAAAATATTGATACAATATATCTTGAATTACCTGAGGTGGTTGATAATATATTATCATTAGTATTTAACAAGATATTCAGAATTCGATATGAGAAATATTTTCGAGTATTTTTTGTATTATTTTTAATAATTTTATTAAATAAATACCATCTAGTTAGTCATTAAACTAACTAGATTTTTTTCTTTATAACAATTAACTTTCTCAAATCTTTTATAATATCAAAAAAAAAACAACAAACAACACAAATTGTTATTAAAAATAATGATTTAACAAAAACAAATGAAAATGACAAAAAACAACTTTCCTCTACAGAGGAGATTGAATATTATCTTGAATTAAAAAATTGGAAGCTTTCTAGTGAAGTTGATAATAATTCATTTGAAAGAGATTTCCAAATATTGATAAACGTCTAGCATTTATGCACAAATTAAAAGATTATTATAATGCTAGAATAGATGAATATAAACTTATTGAAAAAAATTACCAAAAAATCGTAATAATCCTTATTTTTTTAAGGCGAGAAAATTTAGAGAAAATATTTTAAAAGGCCCTAAACAGAGTGCACTTATGGCTATTCAACGTTTAGAACAGAGCATTAAAGATCTTAAAAATGAAATTCAAGATAATAATAAAGAAATTGAAACTCAATAAATTATTTTCATATTTTATTTTATATATTTTTATTAGTAAATAAATTATTTATCTATTTAGTTTTATACTGAATAGAATTTTATTTATATAAAAACAAAATGATGCTTCGAAATAATATAGCTATTTTATCAAAACATAAAAAACTTATTTTTCATACTAAATTTCATACATACAAATCTCAATCAATACAGATTCAAAGAAGTCTTCGTATTAAACCAAATTTTAAACCTAATTATTGTGTCAAACGACAATATACCAAAAAATATATTGCTAATCACGATCGATTTAAAAAATATCTTGAACAATGAGCAGAAACAGATTTAATACTTCAAGAAAAACATGACTTAACAGATAGAATGTTGAGACATTAGGATTATATTCCTCTTGAAAAAGATTATGAAGAAATAACTATTTGAGATAAAAATCATCCTAATTACAATCGATTTAGAGAATATCTTGAACAAAGAGCAGAAACTGATACTGATTATTCACAAAATCAAGAAGTTAAAAATAATATTGAATCTGAACAAATTAAATATATAGTTAAACAAAATGGTATTGTTTAAAATAATAATATAATTTTTATAGATGAAGAAATTACGATAGATGATGATTTATCATCAGATGATTTTAATTTTCCAACAGAGAAACAAGCTTTTAAACAAGCTTTAGAAAAAAATTGTATTATTTAATTAGTCACAAAACTGATTAAATTTTTATTTGCATAAATTAAAATATGGAAGAATATAATACAGCAAAAGAAAATTATAAAATATTAAATACTTTTAATCTACAATATTATATATTTATTAACACATTAAAAGATATCAAAAAATGTGGATTTATTACAGATGCTGATGCTGCGATTAAGAAAATTAGAAATCATAATATGAATTTGATGCAACAATATCAAGCCACAATTGATAAATATGAACAACAAATTAGAGAATTTTCTCTATATTTATTAATTTCAGGTGATAAAAAAATTTGGCTTAGTCGAAAAAATAATACATATAAAGATTTTTATGATTATTTTCAAGCAACAGGTGGAGCTAAAGAAAAAAATAAAATATTTGAAGAATATGCTTGTAGAGAAGCTTTGGAAGAAGCAAATATCGAATTAAAAAAACTTATATTTGTTTGTTTTCAAGAAGGATTTAGAGAATTT